TCTCTTGGGTTTATACCCAAATAGGGCATGTACATACAACAAGGACATATGTTCAACCATGTTCATAGCAGCATTGTTTGTAATAGCCAGAACCTGGAAGCAACCTAGATCCAGTCAGCTCTTTAACCTTCTTTGACAGGTATGGTTTCCCTGTTGTCATGGCCTGGGCCAGGGATCAGCCTCTTCTCTCCTTTTAAGGCAGTTCTCCAGCCAGGAGGTCATTTCCGCCTCAGTGGCCTGCGACCTTGAGTTTGACACAGCCACACTGCTGTAGAATTGTTATATTTTTAATTAGCCACCCCAAGGTTTCATAATGTAGGTGCATTTTGCTGCTTTCAATGTGGGGTTTTAAAAATTGCATTAGTGAAAATGTGAAATAAGATATATTTAATCTGCCTTTGAGAAACTATAAATTGGAGTGCATGTAATTAACATCCAGTTGGTACCCATTTACATGAGCATTATAGATTTTAGTTGTGAAATGTAATAACATGTACATCGCAGATAGAGATCTCATAAGCATTTTGATGATTAATAACTAAAGGGCTCATTTCTAGGGGTTCTCAGCGTAGGTTTACTTGGAGGATGCTTGATTGCATTATTCCATGAAATGTGGCTAAAGTGAAAACAGAAACAGATGAAACTATTGAGAGTTTTTCAAAACCCTTACTGCAAGAGGACAAGGGTGAGAACTAAGGGACTCAGCCCGTTCAGAAGGTCCATGTGGCAGCCCCTGTTTCTTGTTCTGTCTAAAGCAAAGGCTGTCCAAATGTGGGCCAGACAGAGACCACAGAGTGGGCTAGAAACATTCTTTCAGGCCCAGGGTACTGGGGCAGATGGAATGTGAGTGGTGCAACCTTGGTGGTGGAGGTGTGTAATAGGGATAGGCTTCAAAAGCCTTTTCTCATGTCTGGTATGTTCTCTCTTCCTCTTGGTTGTTGGTCAAGATGTAAGCTCTCACGGGAAGATTTGATGGACTTTGCAGAGCCCTCGTTGAGGGCCCTACCCTGCCTGGGGAGTGGTGGGTGGATGGGGTGGGGGGTAGGCTGGGGTGGGGGAGGAGGGTTGGAGGTGAGGGGAGGGAGAGGGAGAAGGGACTTGAAATAAGCTTGTTCCCTAACTAGAACTAATAAAATAAAATTAAAAAAAAAACTATTACCTGTAGCTATCATTCTGGACAATCCATTCCTGGGCGGCTTTTCCTAACTTAGTTCATAAGTTTTGTTTCCAGTCAGATCCATAAGTAATAGGAACCATAAAATGGGTCTTTATAATTCTCTGTCTTCTCCAAGGCACAGAGCCCTGTACAGTGCTGGTGTAGAGAGAGAAAGCTCAC